CTGTTCAGAGCCATGGAATGAGCACTGCCAGAGCTCCAGGAGCCTTTGGACAGCACTGCCAGGGATGCACAGGGTGGGATTGTTGGGATGTCTGTCCAGGGCAGGATTTAGTGATCCTTGTGTGTCCCTCCAGCTCAGGGTGTGCTGTGATTCAATCTATGCAGTGAAACCAACAAACATTTTTGTTTGAAGTGAAGGAAGGCATTCTCCACAGTTCAGCGGGAGGATAAAACTCCCTTTCCCTTAAAACATAAAAGTAACACCTGCCTAGAGCAGGATAAGACGTTCAGACAACACATTATTTACAAGCAGAGATTTCATTTTATGTGCTGGAAGACTGCAAACACACAGCCCAAGCACAAGGCCTGTGTGGGTGACCAGGGAACAGCCCAACGCGGCCGGAACAGCCCTAAGCTGTAACCCCTCTGAGCTCTGCTCCAGTGCTGAGTTTTCCTGTGTGAGCGAGTTTCACCAAACCATCTCCGCTGACATTTAGACACCGTTTCAGGAGCTGGCTGCCCGGAGCTGCAGAGGGGAAGGGTCACTTCCCCCAGAGCAATTCAGAGCCAGGGAGCACAGCTTCACCCCAGATATCTGTGACGGCGTCTGGGCGAGGAGCCTGGCTGCCTGCAGGCCGGGCAGCAGCGCCCGCATGGGCTCCCACCGCGCGCAGTGCCGCTCCCCAGCCCTAGCCATCCCAGAGTTTGCTCCCGCCTTCCTTCCAGAAGAATTTTAAACCCCAGGCGCGCTAACATCTTCAGGGATCTTTCAAAATGATTTATCAAGCTGACTAGTCTTTAGAGGAGTTCCCACAATATTCAGGTTTTTTATCCTGGGAGGGTGGGCGGGGTAAAGGTGCCCAGAGCAGCTGTGGCTGTCCCTGGATCCCTGGAAGTGTCCCAGGCCAGGCTGGACGGGGCTTGGAGCAGCCTGGGATGGTGGGAGGTGTCCCTGCCATGGCTGGGGTGGAATGGGATGGGCTTTGAAGTCCCTCAGAGCCAAACCATTCCGGGATTCTGGAATTCCAAAAGCAAGCACTCCTTTCCCAAACCATTCCGGGATTCTGGAATTTCAAAAGCAAGCACTCGCTTCCCAAACCATTCCAGGATTCTGGAATTCCAAAAGCAAGCACTCCCTTCCCAAACCATTCCGGGATTCTGGAATCCGAAAAGCAAGCACTCCTTTCCCAAACCATTCCGGGATTCTGGAATTCCAAACCCAAACTCTTTTCCCGCTGGGCTAGCAGGGGAACACCAAGGTGCAACCTGGCCTTGGGCGAGCCACGGCTCACGTCCATCTCAAGCCAAATCATGGAAATAACACTTTGCAAACACGAATATTTGCATTTCCCTTCCCCCGTGTAAAATCACAGAATCACGCAAGAACCGGATGAGCCAGAACCGACCCGGCCAGAACTGACCTGGCCAGAACTGACCCGAGCCAGAACCGACCCGAGCCAGAACTGACCCGAGCCAGAACTGACCCGAGCCAGAACCGACCCGAGCCAGAGCCGACCCGAGCCAGAACTGACCTGGCCAGAACTGACCTGGCCAGAGCCAACCTGAGGCAGAACCGACCCGGCCAGAACCGACCCGAGCCAGAACCGACCCGGCCAGA